AAAAAAATCAAGTTCAGACTTAGTCAATTGCCTGTCAACAGTCACCTTTGGATGGCATCTACAAGCCCATCTCCAGCAAATCTTCGCCATTCCTCCAAATGGCATCTTTAAGCCCATTCCTCCTATCATCGCATCGTCGAGTGCAAATTTCTGGGCACTCTAGTGTCCAATCATATTCCACCTTTGAGTCACGAATGGCAAAACTCGCCAATCTAACTCTTCAGGTTTAAGAAGATTGAACAGGGGCAGCTGTTGTACCCCAAAATTTGCCCACTCATTTTTCAAGTATTTGCTCACAAGATATTCTAAGACGTCAAATTTGTAGCACTGATACATCAATTTAGGCTTGAAATTTGCACAAGGGCAAAATGGTCAATTGCATATTGGAAAGTCAAACTTTGACTTTTTGGTCAACATTACAACCCAAAGATCAAATATCATCAAGACATTCAAAAATATCAAGCTTGATCATTAAGAAGTCAAGAGAATAAAAAAATCCAACTTTGCAAGACTTTAAGATTTTTCTAAGTATTTTCTATACTTGGTTAATTTCATTTGCTTCATGGCATTTTACTACAACTCCAAATAATTCAAGATGATGCAAGTAATTCAAGTTATTACAAAGTGACATTTTGCAAATTCTAAAACTATGTCTTGATTAAAACCTTGTCATAATATTTTTGCCTTTGACATAATATGCACAAGACCGAATTTGTGACATGCTACAAACTATGCTGTCCAAAGTTGAAGAAAATATGATATATCACATTGCTACAATATCCCATGTTGCCAATACAGTCCAAAACTGCTCTATGCAGTCTGCCCAAACCTGCACCATAACAGCCCCAAAATTGCACCAAAATGGCAAAGGAAAAATTGTGGGAAGAAAGTGTCAAAACAGTAGGCAAAAGCAATTCAAATTGACTTATTTGTTTTCCCCCCTAAACCACAGTCAAGGGGTCTACAAAAATAGGACTGTCTCATAAGACAAGGGGGGCTGGATTTTGAGGAGAGGAAAAATTTTCTAGAGAAAATATATAGAGTTTTGTTGAGCAAAAAAAACAATATTCTGTGTAACATTGACTCATTTTCAAAACCAAATCTATTCTTGTTCAAAACAGAAACCCAACTTATTACTCTACCATACAAACTCTCCTTTAAACCAAACAACTCATTACATACAAAGGTGGTCCAAAACATCATAAAAACAGTTCCTGTGTTGCTATTCATCTCCATCTTCAAAACACCAAAAACATTACAGTACAGTCCATCTTAGTTTCAACTGTCCGGAATAGCTTTCCGAAGATTCATTGAGGTATTCATCACATTTGGAAAAATATTCAGATTTAAAACAGACAGTGCAGTCCAGAGGTAAGCCTTCTTGATTTGATATCTCTCCATACATCATTAATGATTTGTTTATTTTAAAGACAAGATGTAGTACTTTAATATTTTTTTGAACTAGTCATCTGCACTTTGTTTAGGCTTATTCAATCATTTGTTGTTCATGTTTATCCATCGTATTCCATAAGCTAACTTGTACATTCAGTAAAATAATGTTTGAGGCAGGAAAATGCAGCATGTATCGATACATATCCTCATGTGTCGACTCATCCTAGTGAAAAAATAGGGTATGAGTCGACACATAACCCCCATGCATCGACTCATACTGATTTCAGGTTACAAAACAGAAGTGGGAAAATACTATGAGTCGACACATACGCGTTTCGCATCGATGCAAGAAGGTGCATGAGTCGACACATTCCATTACGTGTCGACTCATACTGAGCAGATTTTGTTTTACAGAAGCAAGGAGAAGCTATGTGTCGATGCATAGCAGCATGGATCGACACATAGCAGTTTAAAATGCAGTTTTCCTTTTATTTTACACTGTTTTTACATTGTTTTCATTATCATTCAATATGGTTGTAATATTTCAGTCTCCACTTCATCCCCATTGTAAATTTGTACCCTCATCCCCCTAAAGTGATGTAATAGCTTAGGATTTATTTTCCACATGTTTACTTGCTTTCATATATTGCTAGTAATTAGGATGTACGGCAAGATAAAATCAGCAAATAGATAACCTTTCAAATACAAGACAAAATGCATGCAAACTAACACACTTGCACACTAGCATCTCTAAGGTAATCCCACTTTGTTGCCTATCGGAAAATAGTCATGTCCCTCGAGCATGGGAGTTTTAGCAAAGACCCTCGATAAAAGATCGTAGTCCCTCGACGACCCTTGATGTTGCCTTCGGTAAACGATCTAGTCCCTAAAACGACATTGCTAAAACGTCCCATATGTTGCCTTCTATGACTATACAAACGTCCCAACGTCCGTCCCTTCACATCCAAAGATGGGACTTCTTACCAAATCAATGGTAAGATAACAACATATAAAGGAGGAGGAAAAGCACATCTAAGACCTTTTGAGTAGGTAGGTTCACTCTCAGTTACTCGCTTGCTCACAACAAAAACATTTTATACACCCACACTCTCATCTTTGAACTATTTTCGAAACAAACACTTTGTAGGCGTTCTTATAGAAACGAGAACCATTACGAAGTTCCATTTTCAAAATACTTTCAAAAACAAATCTCACAAACACACTTTTGAACTATTTTCGAAGCAAACACTTTGTAGGCGTTTTTATAACGAGAATCATTACGAAGTTCTATTTTCAAAATACTTTCAAAAATCACCACCACAAGCACATATTCAAACAAAAGCAAGTGATCTAGCAAGTAACTAAGAGCCCATGGAAAACCATGGATGAAAAGGGTGCTAATACCTTCCCTTTTCATAATCTACCCCCCGAACCCAAGAAACATCTCTAAAGGTCTTTCCTGTGCTTTTTCACCTTTCCTTTTGGATAAAAGAAAAGTCGATGACGACTCTTTCTAAACCGCAACATTTGCGAACACAAACGCAAAAATATCAAGTGAGTTCTCCCACCGCATCACACATGTCTTTAGAGTCTTCAACACTTGGTATTCAAAAGTAATATCTTCAGATCTTCAAAACTTGTTCATCAGAACCTTGTCTTCAGCATCTTCAGAACTTAGGACAACCGAAACAACTTTTGAAGGTCTCCAAAGCTTCCTTACAGAGTCACAATCAGAAGCTCTTGTACTAATGTTCCTTAGAACTGTTGCAGAAGAAACATTTCAAAATCTTGACTTATCTTTGTAACACATCAAAAGTATTCTTCTAGAGTGTTGAGTTCAGAACCTGATGACGTCACACACCTTATTACAAGAGTCGAAATCTATTTAGCAAAAGCTACACACTAGACAAGAACCATTAGAGTACACAATTATTCTCTAAGATACCATTTAAAATTATCATCAAAACTCAAGGCCAAATGCAAAACCAATCATGTTCTTATAAGGTGTGCTTGAATATTGATGAATCACTTCAAGATGGAATCATAAGATATGGTAGAGTTTTGAGAGGAATGCATGGAGAATGGTTGAGAGACTTTATAAGAGGTATATGGCGAGGATATGCTTACCTGGCAAAATTATGGGGGTTGTTTGAAGGGTTTACTATGGCTAGGAGGATGGAGTTCGAAAATGTGGAGGTTCAGATGTACTATATGAAAGTCGTAAATGATGTAAAGAATGACAACAAAAATACATCGAGTGGGAAGAGTTTGATTTACAAGATTAGAAATTTCTTGGAGATGGATTGTGACATATATACTAAACACTCTTTTCGAAAAACGAATAAACTGACAGATGCTCTAGCTCATTGTAGTTACTCTTTGAGTGATATGTCTTGTATTTATCATGATTGTCCGAAGAACTTCCGACATATCCTTTTGTCGGATATGAAAGTGATTATCTTCGTTAGAATTATTTTCGCGTAGTTTTTTCTTTCTAGATTGTTAGCCCTCATATTAATAAAAAAAATATAATATATATACGTTCATCATTAATCTAATAAACACAAAAATATCTCAAACAACTAATATATATATATATATATATATATATATATATATATATATATATATATATATATATATATATATATATATATATATATATATATATATATATATATATATATATATATATATATATATATATATATATATATATATATATATATATATATATATATATATATAAAATTAATTTACTTTTAACTAATTTACTTTGAAAAAATAAAGATGTTACATTTACGTTATTCCAATTTTGATTTTGATTCTAACCTATACTTAACCCCCCAAAAAAAAGTGATAAATCCCAAAGTTATAATAATTAAATATATTTTACATTCAAAGTCAAATATATGATATAAAATTATCACATTTTTTCCAAAAAAAAGTCATTCTTTTTTAATTAAAAAATATATATTTTCAACAAAAACTTGAATGAAGTAGAAGAGAGTAAAATCCAAAATCAACTAAAATAAGGAATCATAAATACATCTAAGCTTAAGTTTTATTATAAAATAAAATAAAATAAAATAAAATGATTGTAAATTTCGTTTTGGATAGCGCGTGTAAAACACCTCCCAAAAGAGAGCGTATATAAGATCTCCCAGCTATAGAAGACGAAAGCCACCACCACAGCACAGTTACACCCAACCTCGTCAACTACTGCTCCTCCCTCTTGTTCAATTGCAATAAAACCCACAAATCAATTTTTGTTTTTTCTTCATCTCATCAAAAAAATTTAATCTTTTTCAATTATCATCGCAATTATTGTTATTAATTTTTAATTATTATAACGAGGTTCGTTTCATTTGGTGGAAAGCAAAAACCTTGCTGGTGAAGGGAGTTTTGTTACTTGAAGTCGTTGGGCTTTCACTGTCTTTTCTATCTCATCAAACTGTGACTCGTTGTTGTGACTCAACGATTCACTCGTTTGACTGCTTTTGAAGGCAACCCTTTTGTTTCTTAAGGTGTTTGTTTCCATTGATGGGTTTTGGATTTTATTGTTGGATTCAGAGGTGCTTCAATTGGGATCAGGGTTGTTGACAGAAATGGTTGAGGTTGAAGCTCAAAGGTTGGAGCTTTCTTTTGTTAAGAGGAAGGAAGTGGTGTTTCGATGGTTGCTGTTTCTGCTGTTTCTTAGTCCTGTGGTTGGTCTTAGACCCTTGAGGGATAAAACTGGTTCTTGGGGTGATGAGGTTTGTTTATCAAATTCTATTTTATTTTACTGTTTTTTGATGTAGTTGTTTTGATTTTTGATTTTTGATTTTGATTATGTTGTGAATTTTGGAGTATGATATTTGATGTTTAATTAAGGTTAGATTAGAATAAAACCAAACTCTGTGGTTTGTTTGTTCTAAAGGGCTAAATGTGTTTTCACTTTTCACATAGGTTGATGAGAGACAGGTGATAATCTGTCCAGAATGTGTACAAATGGTATCAAATTAATACAACTTATTTTGAAGAGAGAGTCAGATTCGTTGTTAGTGGATTAAGAAATTGTACTTGAGTATTCTTTATCGGATTTCTATGTCGAATTGTATATAGGTGTATTTGGTGTGACTTTGTGCCTCCATCTTGATGAAGAGCAATACATTTGATTTGAGTTTAACCCTTAAAGTGCTCGAGGGTAGAGAAATTTCATATTACTCTGATTAGAGAAAGAAAATTCGATCATATAGGACCATTTAATTTCGATATATGGTTTAGTCCTAGGATTTTGGTTTAGCATATTGCATGCCTAAAGTGTGATATTAATGTTTGTGGCAAATTACATCCATTTTCTTGTATTGTCATTGCATTTTTCAGTGGATTTTTTCCGGAAAAGAAGAAAGCGACATAGGTCCATTTTCACAATGGAATATAACCGGAACTTACCGAGGTTGGTATTCTTACAGAAGTCTATATTTATAATTTTAGATTGACTGTGTTGAGGTATATTTTCAGTCTAGTATGCAAATTTCGAATATAACTGGTTGCATAATATAATGGCTACTTGGATGTCTTACTAATTGCTGAGTATCTGCTTCATTCACGGTTTGGCGTCTATTAAAGGGATATAAGATTTCACTAATAAAATTAGAGTCAAATTGAACCAACATTTGAGCAAGCACGAAAGAAAAGAAAAGTTGAAATGATCTTGCAATGAATTATGAACGAGTGTTCTACATAATAGTTTTCTATATAATTTGAAATCAAATTTTTCTAGAGGTGCTCTTATCTTACTAAAATATGCTTCATTTTTACGCGACCGCGCCATCTTCTAGTCAACTTTGTTCACTAATTTATTCTGGTATGAGTTTATAAGTTTGTCAGTTTGCTGATTTGTATTGATATTACCCTCTTTGATGCAGGGACGTGGAAGTTTTTAGATAATACAAATGGCTCTTCTAGATTTCCAGACATCAGAAAAATAAATGGAAATTCTGTAATTGAATTAGTTAGTACTCCTACAAAGATAACTGGGGTACATTATGTGCAGGTGAATTTTTTAGCTATATAGTTAGTTTCAAAAAGAACTCGGCTTTTGTATGTTACACAATTTCTTTTCTTTTTGCTTTAATACTTGTTTTTAAAATTATGTAAGTAGGTCCCACCTTATCAGAATGGTGCACGAAGCGGCCGACCCTAAAAATGGGATAGTGTATAGCTGAATGGCCGCTATTTAATAATTTTTTGGAAAATACATGAAGAATAATTGTTTCTCTTTTTCACGGGTTTTTATCAGGGAGTGGTTATATTCCATGATGTGTTTGACAATGAGTACAATGTCGGCGGTGCTCAAATCAAAATAGAAGGTGTATATATATGGCCTTTTAGACAACTTCGAATGGTAGCCAACAGGTGAACAATGTGCATCTCAAATTTATACGATGCCTTATTAATCGCATTTAGACGTCTAACTCTGATGATCAAAACCTATTGAGAATTGAAGTAGTAATAGGAAATTTCTTCCGTTTTCTCCTATTGCAGCGGAAAAGACGGAGGAGGGTTGAATCAAGATGGAGATTATATTTTATCAAATCCGTATCATCTGGTATTGCATCTTTCATGATGTACCATTCATTGTTACTTTTCGGAGTTCAATGAGCATTTAAAATACTTAGTTTCTATATATTTGGCTTGATATTTACAGCTTGGAGTTTTCTCGTCTCAAGTATTTCAAGAATCTTCGCGACATACTATGTGGAGAAGAAAGCATTGTAATGTTTATGCTTTTACCAGTATACAACTATATGTCGAAGAATTTCCGCTCCTTTTTGGTTGGTTTGCGCAATGCGTCATTACTAACTTGTTCTATTTGTTGTTTTTTGCACTCTCCGCAGCTCCATTGCATGGCATGGAGAAAAATTGTAATGTTGAAATTTCAGCACGGGTTTCACGCTTGTCCTTGTCAAAACACGGTACACGAGTTCTCTCAAGGACAAGAAAGATTTAGATTTAAGCGCTTTGTCATTTTAATCTCACCATTAACCAAGTTGTTTTACACTTATAGAAGGAGAGCACGATTCTTTTCAGCTGGAAGGATTAATGGAAAGTCCGTCCGTGGATGATGACGGAGATTGCATCTCACCGTTACAGTTAAATGCAACATCGATAAATATAGGAGTATACTACAATAAAGCAGTGAACTATACCTTGATGGTTACTTTTGTATCCTTCCATCATCAATTATCTTTCTTGACTTTAAGCCAACATTTATATTTTCTTCTTCGGTGCAAGTTCCTTAATATATATACTAGGTCTCGTTCTTGCAAGTTCTTCTTTTGATTCGGCAAATGGAGCATAGCAACACCCAATCTGTAAGAAATTTCTTCCGAATTTTATTTTAAATTTCAGGTCATAGATTTAATCCACGTAATTGATAGAAATGATTTGATATTTGAAAGCATACGCTGGAGAATCTTCGTTTAATTAATTTATAAATAACTATATGAATATAAAAAATGAATACGATTCTTATATACCTCTGCAGGGTGCTGCTAAGGTTTCAATAATAATGATCGGTCAGCAAGCTATAGTGGATGCTTATCTTTGCCTTGTACATCTGACGGCAGGAATACTAGTAGGTAAGTTTTGAAATAAGTGTCTCGGATTTTCATATACTCGGTTAAAGTTGTAATCAAGGGAAGGTGGTCAAGCTCGTAGGATCAAGGAGCTTCGGTTGGATCTTACAAGTTGTGTTGCGAATTTTCACTGGCCTTTCGGTAACTGTTAGCTATTTTCTGATCATTGTTATTTTCTGCCATGTAGAGTCCTTATTCAACGCATTTGCAACTGCTGCATTCTTCAAGTTTGTAGTTTTTTCAATATTTGAGATGAGATATCTCCTTGCAATTTGGAAGGCAAGCCGGCCTTTGAGTAACGGTGAAGGTTGGGAGACAATGAGGCGTGAGCTTTCTGTTTTATACAGTCGTTTCTGTAAGTAACTTGTTCAGAATCGAAGTTTCTGTTACATTCTGTTTGTGTTCTCATTGTTACTCATCACCGCATGTTTGCCATGGGTCTTAGGACCTGTTTGGATTGACTTATCCGAGTTTATCGATTGACATAAACACTTCTGAGACTGTTTGAGAAAACTTAAGGAAACAACTTATGACATGTTTATAAGCTATTTTTGGCTTATTTGACTTTACTTTATCTTTTGTTATAGAGATAGTTTATACGATATAAGTGCTTATGCTATAAGTGTTTGATTAAGTTTTTTTAACTGTTCTTGCAGATGGGATCCTGTTGGGGGGAATTCTATTTATGTATGAATTCCATTATTATTTGAAACCTATTCTGCTTCTTGTATACTCCTTTTGGATACCTCAGATAATCACCAACATTGTTCGTGATTCACGCAAACCATTGCATCCTCATTATATATTAGGCATAACCGTCACTCGGCTAGCAATCCCATTATATGTTTTTGGCTGTCCTAACAACTTCTTGCGCATAGAACCAGATCACACCTGGTGCGCATGCTTGGTTTTATTTACTTGTTTTCAAGCCGCAATTCTCCTTCTTCAGCATTATCTCGGCTCCCGTTGGTTCATTCCTCATCAGGTAAGGCCTAAATCTTGTCACTTTTTTACCGGTTCGACTCCATCCAACAATCTAACTTTGTCATTCATACTTCATTACAGATTCTACCTGAGAAATACAGCTATTACCGGAGGTCTTCTCAGGATACAAATCATTCGACAGACTGTGTTATATGCATGACAGCGATTGATCTCACGCCACGATCAAACGATTGTATGGTGACGCCTTGTGATCATTTTTTCCACACCGGCTGTTTACAAAGATGGATGGATATAAAAATGGAGTGCCCAACATGCCGGCGCCCGCTCCCGCCTGCATGAATAGGTTTTCAAAATGTTCATATCCTTAGAATCAACTGACACCACCCAACTCGATGTAATTTCGGTAATACGCTTCTGAAAAGGCCTTTGGTAACTAGTAACACATAATTTCAACTCAAGTGTTGAGTTTGTATTTTACTATTTTTCTGTTCTTTTGATTTTCAGGTTGGGGTAGAATCAATATTGGGTATAGTTGAGCTTTTCAGTACAAGGCTGAAATGAGACACTTGTGATAATTGTATCATGCAGCATTTGTTTATAGCTGATTAATAGTTTTTCTTAAAAAAAATTTAAAACTGGTTAGTTGTTGTGTCAATGATTAATAATTTTGTATATCAAAATTTCCATTGGATAATCTTTTGGATTCCACCTTTGGCTTTCAGTGCATCTTTTTTTGTATTCAATTGATATAATTGTTAGTTAAATTGAACTGATAGACTAGTATTAATAATGGAAAACCATTATTCAATTTTTTTAAGAAACTAAAAGTAGAATTTAAAATATTTAGAAAATCATAAACTTATTTAATCCTCAAAAAAAATTATGATAAGTTAAAATTAAATACTTATTTAAAACTTTTTGTGTGTTTACATCAAACATTTTAGAAACATAATGAAGTTTGACAAACATGCATTCAAACATAACATACATTCTAATTCTGTTGGATATAACATTTTTCAAGTAACATAGATTCTGATACAAATAGAGACAAAATATGTACATAGTAATATTCCTAACCCAACTTTGAACTTTTATTACATCAACACAAACACTTCACTCAAAGTCGAGGGTATCTTGGTGCAAGAACAGGAGCAGAAACTGGCATTGCTGCTACTGGAATTGCAGAAGGTGGAACAGCCACAGAACCAACACTAACATTCTTCCCAAAACCACTTTCAACACAACAAACCTCAAAACAATCAACTGGTGGCTGTTCAAGTTTAGCTCTACATTCCTTTTCACTTCTCTGCAGTGCCTTGTTCGGCAAGCAATTGTGCCGATCGTCATAAACTATTTTCTTTGATGTCAGATTCTTACAAATACCCTCTTCCTCACAGAAAAAGTTGTAAGAAAAAGTGAAATTCACCAAGTTTGGTAAAGCACAAACTCCCATAGGAACTATTCCACTCATCATGTTATGTCCTATGTTTAACTGCTCCAAATGAGATAACCCTGAAAGACTATAAGGTATAGGACCAACAATGTTGTTGAAACTAACATCCAAAACTCTTAACTTGTATAGAAATCCAACTTGTATTGGAAGACATCCTGATATGCTTGTGTTGATTAAGAGAAGTTCTTCTAAAGTATCGGCAAAGTTTACTATGCTTTCTGGTAAGCATCCTCCAAATTTGTTATTAGCGAAAACCATGACAGAAGCTTTGCTTTTTCCTAAATTTCTTGGAATAGAACTTGTGAAGCGATTGTTGTTGAGAAAAAAAGCATCGAAAGGTTTGTCGAAAAGTTGAGAAGGCAACGGCCCTTCGAACTCGTTGTAACGAAGGTCTAGGTAGGCAAGGGAAGGAAGGGAAAGAACGACAGAAGGAAACGGACCGACGAATCTGTTGTTGCTAAGGTCAAGCTCGGAGAGATGTGTTAGGTTGGTGAAGGTTTCTGGAATGATGCCGCAGAAACGGTTGCTGTTGAGGTGGAGAATTGAAAGGTCACATAGGAAGGCTAATTCGTCGGGTAGGAATCCGGCTATGTCTGCGTGGTTAAGGTCGATTCCCGCGACAACTTTTGTTTTAGGATCGTCTAGTGATGGAGCACAGTAGATACCTGTGTAGTTGCAAACTGAAGGGCCTGCCCAATTGGAAGTGATGTTATTTGGATCTGAATAGATCACTTGCTTCCATGCTTGCAGCGCAAGAAATGCACGATAAAGCCTTATGTTTGATGGTGGATTGTGGTTATTGTTGTGCCTGTGGAGATGCCTGTGATTGTTGGTTATGCTGTGTTTCGCATTGAGATTGTTGAAGAAAAAAGAAAAATATAGAAAAAAGAGGAATAATAATATACATGATGAGGAATGAGAAGATGAAGTTGAAGCCATTGTTTTGTGATACTAATAAAATGAATGAAGCAATGTATATAAATATGTTATAAAATGAAGAGCTCTTTTCACTTTCAAACCATAAAGGCATGGTCTTATGTTCAATCATGCTGTCTTTTGTTCATGTTTTAGATTATCATAATCCAAAAATGGTTGAAAATGACAGCATCAAAATAATCTCAACAACTAATTAAGTGGTCGAGCTCAAAAATAATTTTAAGTGAAAAGTGAGATTTTACTTATTTTTAGATCAAATTTCAGATAATTAAAAGTATTTTTTCATGAGTGTTTTAATTTATTTTTTAGAACTCGGTATCCAGTTCTAAAAATAAATGATTTTCAGCAAAAAATAGTTCTCTTTATAATAAAAACACAACTCAAACTATTATAAACCGATTTTAATTCTCTACGTCACTTAAAATTTTAAGATATACTTAAAAATAAATAAATTAAAGACAATAATCACAACCACCTTAGTGTTGATGGTTAACCGTTATAAGAATCTAACAACAAGTGTTTGAGTTATTGTTATAGTTGTAGGTTTATTCTCTACCAATGAGTTTCTAGATTAGATACAAAGTCAACATACTATTGATGATGTTTGAACTCGACGATGAAACTTGAAGAATAGGACCAAGCGCATTATAACGACTTATCTCCTTCCATGTTGTTTTCGTAGTAGTTAGAGTGGAGTTTATAGAAATTCGATTTCTTCAAACCAAAGGGATATCGATGATGAATTTTGTACAAGTTCACCGTTTAGCTACAAATATTCAAGGTCCTATGTGGCGGTGACTACCCCTACTTGAAGATTTCATATTCCAAGTCCAACAAAGAAATTGATTACTATGATTATTTTTCTTATGTTTCTTTTTTATAGGGAAAATTGATGTGTATCTATATCATGTTCATAGATAATCATTTGGTTCAGATCAGCTTCAGACTTAAAATTTAAATCTGATATAAATTGTGATTTTATTTTCGAGACTTAATTTTAATCGATAAAATTTTAATTTTTGATAAATTCAATTAAATTGATTTGGCGGATAAATCAGATCAGTTTAATCGATTTAATATTTATTGAGTAAATCTATAAATATGATATTTCTTATAAAATTCACAAACATTTATTTTTTTTATTTTTTTAAACTATTAAAATTTTAAAATAACCTAAAAAAACTATTTTCGTATTTAAAAAAAATTATTATTACATAATAATATTTCAAATATTATTTAATTTTAATTTAATCATTATTCTACTTTAAATCACAAATTAAATAATACTCAAAATTTTATATTACATATGTATTTTATTGAGAATACAATGTCAGATTATAAATAAATAAAATATTATTTAGATTCAATCAATTTCGATTTTTTACTGGTCTAAAATAATCATTTGAGCCTGACCGAAGCAACCCTACGTTATCTAAATTAAGCAATAGAATCAATCCGATCTGACTCGTTTGCATAAAGAAATAATGAGTCAGTCGATTTTGTTGTACCATAAAATTTTCCCTCTTTATTTTAAACCTAATTGGCTTATACTTCATTATCATATGCATACATACGTTCATTGGCTCTATGCTAATGGAATCGAGGTATTTCTTTGCAAGAAAGAGTTACGAAAATTGACTGTTCCGTTAAGCAGCACTGTAAAGCAGAACTCAGGGTTTTTCGCATTTTAATGTCATCCCCATGTCTTCCAAGCTATCCGGTCAATAACCAAGCAAGTCATCAACATGTCAAGGTCTTATGCGTTTCAACACGCTCTGAATTGTGCAGAAAGTCGGGCATTTCAATTGATTTGAGACAGTGCAGATAAAAATTCACTACAGTGCGTTTCAAGCTCAGAAATTCACAACTCGAGTTCAGGAAATATTTTGGGATTGATTCTTCGGTCATTAAAACCGTCTTGAGGTCTTCTTCATTTCATAAGTTCATGTCGAAGACTAATTTTGTGAGGAAGATTTTCTAAAGTGCAAAATCCTTGAATTGCGGTATATAGTGCATTTACCGTTTCTCTGATTTTTGGACGCTTAAGAATTCACAACTTCTGACTGGAGAATCATATTTGAGTTCCTCTTGGAGAATTTGAATCGTCTTTTTATTTTTCCCCCAACTTTCATGTTCGGCTTGAGAGCCAATTCTTTGAGGAAAATCTCCGAATGCGCGAGTACTTTGAAGCTAAACGGTGAAAAACAGTGAAAATACTGTGCTGAATCGTTATTTCGTGGACGTTCAAAAATTCATAACTTTCGCCTGTATCAAGGTTTTTGAGCGGTTCTTTGGGAGAAAAATTCTTCTCGATTTCATCTTCAATTCTTATGTTCGGGTTGAGAGTCGATTCTTTGAGGAAAGTCCCCGAAATTATAGATTACCAGAGAAATTTATTGTGATGAACCAAAATTTTAATTCACCGTTTTCTGATATTGTAAAAATCGTAATTTCTTTGACTTTTATCGTATCGAGACGATTCTTTCGACATGATTTCACAAATAATGTCATCTATAAATTTGCTTCAGACCCCGAGTTCGGATTTTGGTTGGAGGACTTTCGTTCATGGCGTTCTTTGCAAACTGAATGGTGAAATTAACTGAGAAAAATCCGCATTAGCTATCTCTGTTATGCGTCTGTGGATCTTCAAAAATTCATAACTTTCTCGTCGTTTATCCGATTGAGTTCATTCTTTTGGCATCGCGTCACAAGTTTTGTAAGCTTCGATTTTGATGTTGAGCTTGAGTCGAGATTTTGCATCGAGGATGATGTGGCATTTTTTTATCGTGTTGTGCATTAAATTTACTGATATTGTCAAAACAAGGCCCAACCCAAATTTAAATCCAAGGCCCAATTGGAGAGAGTTTATATTCAAAAAATCCGAATTTCTTTTATAACTTCACTCACTCCCAAAAACACCTCACAAATCTCTCTATGTTCTCTCAAGGAT